CTTTCATGAGATAATCTAGTTGTTTCGATAAAATGACAGGCCCAGAATATCGAAGGTCGGCCCTTAAAACCGTGATTGGCACATACTGACGCTAATAAACATGTTTATCTTTATGTTATTTTACCGTACATGGTCGACGGTCCCCCTAGTTCTGAAGATGTGTATTAATCACGTAAGGTTTATTTATGGTTCGTGCACCCGAGTTCTGTCTCTGTCACATTATGTAATTACACAGACGGGCAGGTGTGATACTTGTATACATGACATGTTATGGTGTCTGTTGATTGAAAAATGTTATACACAATAAATGAGCATGTGTTTACAAAACCCAACATCTCTATACACACACAAAGAGCGTATCGGCAAATGAACCAGCCAATGAGAGGCTTCGTTACATTTAAGTGCACGCCCATCCGCTCTGACTGGGTTCGGTATCCCGGGTGCTTCGTTTCGAGGGAAGTAAATCAAATACAAAATATTGCACTTTTGATTTGCGATTGTACGATTATATAATTTTGTTTACTTTTTGTTGTTGTCATTATCAGCAATGTATATTATATGTCATGAATAAGTGATAATTGTATTTTAATTATGTTTGTGTTTTTGGTTGCATGTGACCTTTAAGGTTTCAATGGTTGCAGATGATGATAAAAACTCAAAGGGCCACCGATCCAGTGCAATTTCCGTGGACTGGTTGTTGCTTTTGTTATTGTTTTTCTTTAGTGCGTACCCGGATGATATCCCAGAATTCATGACTGGTTCGTTACCTCTGCTGCGCCACCCTCATGCGCAATTGATAGTATAAATATAGACTGATCAATAAAGATGAAATCTTTTTTACTCGATAATCTTAAGTTGATTTTGTTGTTAATTTATGTAGAATTTGATGAATAATTTGGTCTCTTATAACAAAATATTCACTTTGATAAAAATGCTGATTTTGAAGTAAAATTTTGATTTCATAGTAATGTTGACTTTATAAAAATGTTAACGTAAATGGATGTAGAATTTGATTTAATAAATAGTTTGACCTTGAATTTGGTGAGAAGCCTGATATAATAGCCTGATATAATAGCATTGTTTTGAAAGTAAGGCTAACTAAGTACATGAGGAGTCTTGCGGAGAGTAGTGAACTTGGGTTCACTACTAATCAATCTGAATGTTGTATTAAATGGCATATTATTTTCATTACAAATGAAAACTTTAACCATCTGCCAGTGGTAATAAATGTTAGGACTGATATAAGGAAGTCAATTTACGTCTGTATATTTTGTCTTATAATCCTAATTAGTTTTTTTTATCATATTTGTATGCATTTTGAAAGTTAAGAAAATGCACACGGTCTGCTTATAACATGACTGTAATATCTAGACATCTTATAGACTGCCAACGTGTATCATATTTCACACAGACGCCCTAAGTGCGACCTAGTGTATATTCTCTGTCTCATTACACTTCACGGCAAAAAAAATGATTCTGTCGAATGACATAACAAATATATAAAACCCAAAATGCAAATATTAAAATTAAAACAGCCCAAAGTTATAGCAACAATATCAGGCTATTACCTTGTTCGGGGAATGTATCCATCAATATCCACATAAAGGAGTGAGATGCCATTCACCTGCAGATGACAAAGTATCCTGTTCAATGTCATGTGTCTTTGAACAGTCAAATATGCGAAAAAGTGATCTATCGTTGCAGGTTTTTCACATTGGTGTATAGTCACATTGGTCACCCAAGATAGCACACCTGGCAACTAATTGCATGATGTCCGCCATTCTTTAAAAAAGTAATTTACTTAGCCAATAATGAGCAATCAATCAATGTTTAATCCTTTGAAAGAAGGACGTTGTTTTTACAAAGAGACTTTACGACAGGGTGTATTCCGTATAGACTAGCAAATCTACATACATAAACACTACGTTTTAACAAATCCGCTGTGCAGGATAAAAGCAATTAATCAATCAGCGTGTTATCGGTTACTCCTTTGATCGAATTTTGTTTTGTAACTCAGCTGATAATTCCTCTTACTGCACTTCCATGAGTATATTACATAATATGTAATACATTTACCGCATCAGGCCTCAATATATAATTTACTCCAGATACAAGAAATGCCAAATGGGAACCTTTGTCGGGTAATATCAGTGGTGTTGTCACTAATTATAACTATTATAAATTCATTAACTGACCATCAAGTGAATGATGACAAATAACATGTGTAGATTTACCACCAAACAAGGGTTACAGCATGAGAGTAGTAATCGCTGTATTGCATGCAAGTTTGATTGTCTGAAAAATAAACTTATGGGCCGACGCTGTTTTGAGGATACGAACGGATCGAACTTCATTGTTACATAAGAAATATATCCAACCGTTTGCTGTGTACTTAGTTAGAAACTGTATATACCTAAGTACCTAAGTAAAATTTCAGATTTTTTTTAGAATGGCAAAGTGGGTCGGTTTAGTTTATGGATTCAAATATATAATGTGCGTGTGTTTGATATCATAGCATACGTAATAGACATAATATGTTTACATGATAAAATATCGAGGTAAAAAAGATCAAATTGGTCACTATACCATCCAAACATTTACAAAACCCCGAAGAAGCCCACACTGCTGGGATACTTTATTACAATCAGACAAGTACTGTAGGGGATATTTTCAAATAAGGGCATCTGATGGGCATCCACCTTTCCTAATGTCCCACTGATTAGGTTGAAGAAATTCTGCCAAGGTGGACAGTAGCCAAGTCCCCGTGTCCGTCACGGTCGAGGGAGCAGGGGCTGACCAGTTTGCAGCTAGGTTTCGTAATTAGGCTGTTGGCTGGAAACATTAATCGCTCTGGATCAGTGGCCATAATTTAAGCTACAGGACACTTACCATTTCTCTATAGATGCAGTCACTTTGAACAGATGTATTTTCGCCTGACTTCGTACACAAAGCGACCAGTATATCCCTACTTTCAAGGTTCTCAGCTACAGGGATAAATAGGTAAGGTGATAGGAGATGACCTACACATCGCCTACACCCTCGTTCGCAAGACATTTGTGGATTACACTAAGACCTGCTAAATATCAACATCCCAATTCGAAGAGGGTTTGTAAAGAGAGAATATGCGTATGCAAATATGACTTGGTCGAGTTAAAATGTATGGAGGAGGGAGGAAAACGTGAAGGGATGGGGTGCATTGAGGCGTGTCCGCTAGTCAGGCTGGAGGATCCAAAACCGTAACATCTAAATCGCTATATTGCTTAGATATTGTTGGTGGAGTTCTACCTTTAGAGTTATTCCACAGACCCCTGAAGCATTTTAGTGATAACATTGGTCCAGAGACTATATATGGTAAATCATTATTTGCCGCAGCACTGTCGCTTTTCCTTTGTAAACTGATAAGAATATAAAGTACGATTCTAAAAGAAACCTCGATACCAACTCTCTTGATCCACTTATATGTTGGGACATACGATTTATTTATCTGTGACATGCACATATTTCTCCAAAATGATATTCGTAAAATGTCTGTCGGTGATTCATTGAGACCATTTAATCTGCTCCGCCCCTGTATGAAGCATGTTTTATGACCATGCTACCCGGAAATATTTCTACTCGCCACACGCTCTTAACCTGCAGTGGCGTTGTACATATCTATTACAACGCAATATGACATCTAAAAATATCTTCGATTGTAAGTTGACTAGTTCCCAGCAGGGTGTTCAGAAGCAGCTCGTGTGTACCCTGAAGTAGAGGGGATATGGCCACCATTAACAGTCTTTAAATCCAGGGATTCATATCGTAAGTAGTTATATTATGTGTCTACAGTAAGCGACTGAGTTGGTATCTTGCCTGTTGTAGTCCCAGAGTCTGTGTATCCACATTGACTGTCGTGAACCCCGAAGGCATATTGTCTGTTGTAATCTCAGCTTCTGTGGCTTTATATTGACAGATCAGGGTTTATAGACACGGTGCAGTTATATGTTGTCACCCCAGGAAGTATTGCTTGAAGCTGTATTGACATTTTATTAACAGAAAGTCTGTCTAGCCTTATGGATTGTTGTGGTCCCTGAGACAGTGTACCCAGCTAACACAGGAACGTTTCGAAAACGTTTTAAACAACGTTGTTTTATTTATGTTTTAAAAACGTTTTGACGAAATATTGGCGAGAAACATTAGAAACCTTCTGAAAAGGTTTTGCAAACGTTTTCCGTATGGTTTCCAAAACGTTTCAGAAACGTTTGGGTTGAACCTTCTTGCCATTGTAGAGATAGCAGTAAGGATATCATGTTCTGATATCGTTGCAAGGCTAGTTTACCAACACTACGTGTTGAATCCCGCCCAATAAATACATACACGTAAATAAATTTGTTAATCATGTCATCCGTTGTTATTAGTGAAAATGAAAACAAAACAATGATATATGTTTTAAAGAATACTTTATTTCATCAATACATATGGAAAATAATCAGTCATCTTTGCCATCGGGCTTTTCTTGCGTCTGTTTTGGCGTCTGAAATAAACACAAATAAATTCTGTAAATATTTACGGCCCCTTCACTCTTGATGATGCTAAATTACTGCTACATAATATTTCTGTGGCGTGAAACTATGTCGAAGAGTACAAATTCCAACTAGTATGTATCGAAAACTTACAAAATATATACAGATCAGTCAACCTAAGTAGATCATTAATCATATACAATAGGAATTTATTACCAACCAAATGAAACAATTTGTCAAATTGTGCAAGTGATTTCATATGATTATATTGTATGATACTTCCCCAAAATACGGGCATCATTTCCATAAACAAATTGTTACCCACAATAGTTTTACGGTACTTAACATTGTGTATTCCTTACAGCTGACCCAAGTTATAAATGATTAGTTGCCTTTTAATGGCAGGATGAACCTTTATATAAAAGTATTTCTTCATGACAAATCATCTCTTGTTTAAAAGTCGCATAGTATATTTACTGACTGAAGAACAATAATATGAATACACATACCTCCTTTTAGAAAACTGTCGTCTTGTCACAACAGTATATTGTACAATCTTCTACATCCAGCAATGTGATGAAACTTCCCGCCTGCCATGTACCGAGTCCGATTTTGAATGCACGGGTGCCTGCTCTGACCTGATAAGTATCTTGGAACATTCCTGAGAGTTGACACCGATGCAAGACATAGCAAGTTGTCCACGCAGAGAAGGCTGAACTTAACGGGGATTATATTTACAATACAATGTTGGATGAATAGTAAATAGCAGAGTACAAAATAATAAATATAAGTGTTATGGACTAAGTTATGAAACACACGACATACTATTCCACTTGACAAAATGTTCACAACTATTTTTGTACAGGTGTAATTTCATAACCATTATTTTCAAATCAATGTATATTCATGCAGTGCACGGAGACATTCCTATCAGGAAAATTTAACCTCAAATTGTTTCACTAACGATTTTATATCGTTTTGATTTGGTTTCAATCAAACTTTAGAAAAACCTTCGCCAATGTTTCAATAACGTTTCTAAAACGTTGATACGTAGAAGGTTTGATTTTGTTTCTTGACAACGTTTTAATCACGTTATTCTAAACGTTTTCATAACGTTTCAAAATAACGTTTACAAAAACGTTTATAAAACATTATCCAAACCTTTTCATGAAACATTTCCTGAGACACCACTAGAAAACATTTTAGAAACGTTTTGTGTTAGTTGGGTAGATATATTGGCTGCTGTAGCTTCAAGAGACTGTAGCTATATTGACTGCCCTCAGTCTTAGAGACTGTAGATATATTAGTTTGTTGTGCTTCAAGAGACTGTGGATATATTGACCGTCTTAGTCTCAGAGACTGTGTAGATATATTGGTTGTTGTTCTTCAAGAGACTGTAGATACATTGACCGCCTTAGTAACAGAGACTGTGCAGATATATTGGTTGTTGTGCTTCAAAAGACTGTTCCTATAGTGACCGCCTCAGTAACAGAGACTGTGTGATATATTGGTTGTTGTGGTCCCAGAGGCTGTGTAGTTATATTGGTTGTTGAGGTCCCAGAGGCTGTGTTGTTATATTGACTGTCTTGGTCTCAGAGACTGTATGGATATATTGATTGTTGTGGTCACAGAGGCTGTGTAGTTATATTGATTGTTGTGGCCCCAGAGACTGTGTAGCTATATTGATTGTTGTGGCCCCAGAGACTGTGTAGCTATATTGATTGTTGTGGCCCCAGAGACTGTGTAGCTATATTGATTGTTGTGGTCACAGAGACTGTGTAGCTATATTGATTGTTGTGGCCTCAGAGACTGTGTAGTTATGTTGATTCTTGTGTTCTCAGAGGCTGTGTAGATATATTGGGTGTTGTGGTCTCAGAGACTGTGTAGATATATTGGTTGTTGTGGTCTCAGATACTGTGTAGATATATTGGTTGTTGCGGTCCCAGAGACTGTGTGGATATATTTATTGTTGTAGTAACGGGGACTGTGTAGATATAATGGTTGTGGTCACAGAGACTGTGTGGATACATTGATTGTTGTGGTCACAGAGACTGTGTAGCTATATTGGCTGTTGTGGTCACAGAGACTGTGTAGCTATATTTACTGTTGTGGTCCCAGAGGATGAGTAGTTATATTGTCTGCCTTGGTCTCAGACTGACTGACTGACTGAGTTTAGTTTTACGCCGCTTTTAGCAATATTCCAGCAATATCACGGCGGGGACACCAGAAATGGGCTTAACACATTGTGCCCATGTGGGGAATCGAACCCGGGCTTTCGGCGTGACGAACCAACGCTTTAACCACTAGGCTACCCCACCGCCCCCTTGGTCTCAGAGACTGTGTGGATTTATAGGTCGTTGTGGTCACAGACACTGTGTAGCTATGTTGATTGTTGTGGCCTCTGATACTGTGTAGCTATATTTGATGTTGTGGTGCCAGATTCTCTGTAGCTATATTGGTTGTTATGTTCACAGAGGTTGTGTAGTTATTTTGACTGCCTTGATCTCAGAGACTGTGTGGATATATTGGTTGTTGTGGTCCCAGAGACTGTGTAGTTATATTGACTGCCTTGGTCTCAGAGACTGTGTGGATATATTGGTTGTTGTGGCCCCAGAGACTGTGTGGTTATATTGACTGCCTTGATCAAAAAGACTGTGTAGTTATATTGATTGTTGTGGTCTCAGATACTGTGTAGCTATATTGATTGTTGTGGCCCCAGAAACTGTGTGCCTATATTGATTGTTGTGGTCCCACGGACGGTGTAGTTATATTGACTGCCTTGGTAGACTGTGTGGATATGATGATTGTTGTGGTCCCTGAGACTGTGTAGCTATATTGGTTGTTGTGGTCCCAGAGACTGTGTGGATATATTGATTGTTGTGGTCCCAGAGGCTCTGAAGCTATATTGACCGCCTTGGTCTCAGTGACTGTGTGGATATATTGGTTGTTGTAGTCCCAGAGACTGTGTAGTTATACTGTCTTCCTTGATTTCAGAGACTGTGTAGATATATTGGTTGTTGTGGTCCCAGAGGCTCTGTAGCTATATTGACCGCCTTGGTCTCAGAGACTGTGTAGATATATTGGTTGTTGTAGTCACAGAGACTGTGAAGCTGTATTAGTTGTTGTGTTTCCAGAGACTGTGTAGATGTAATGGTTCTTGTGGTCACAGAGACTGTGTGGATATATTGATTGTTGTGGTCCCAGAGACTGTGTAGTTATACTGACTTTCTTTGGTTTCAGAGACTTTCTGGATATATTGATTTTCTGATCTCAGAGACTGTGTAGGATTGATTGCTGTGGTTTTGTAGACATATTGGTTGTTGTGGTCTCAGAGACTGTGTAGATATATTGATTGTTGTTGCCACAGAGACTGTGTAGATATATTGGTTGTTGTGGTCACAGAGACTGTGTAGATATATTGGTTGTTGTGGTCACAGAGACAGTGTAGATATATTGGTTGTTGTTGTGAGGCTGTGTTGCTAAAGTGACTGCCTTGGTCTCAGAGACTGTGTGGATATATTGGTTGTAGTGGTCTCAGAGACTGTTTATATATGTTGGTTGTTGTGGGTCCAGAGGCTGTGTAGCTACATTGACTGCCTTGGTCTCAGAGACTTTGTGGATATATTGACTGTTGTGGTTTCAGAGACTGTGTAGTTATATTGACCGTCTTGGTCTCAGAAACTGTGTGGATATATTGATTGTTGTGGTCTCAGAGACTGTGTAGGAATATTGATGGTTGTGGTCACAGAGACTATGTAGATATATTGGTTCTTGTTGTTTCAGAGACGATGTAGGTATATTGGTTGTTGTGGTCTCAGAGACTGTGTAGTTATATTGACCGTCTTGGTCTCAGAAACTGTGTGGATATATTGATTGTTGTGGTCTCAGAGACTGTGTAGGAATATTGATGGTTGTGGTCACAGAGACTATGTAGATATATTGGTTCTTGTTGTTTCAGAGACGATGTAGATATATTGGTTGTTGTGGTCACAGAGACTGTGCAGTTATATTGACCGCCTTGGTCTCAGAGACTGTGTAGCTATATTGGTTGTTGTGGTCCCAGAAACTGTGTAGTTATATTTACTTCCTTGGTTTCAGAGACTGTGTGAATATATTGGTTGTTGTGGTCCAAGAGACTGTGTAGCTATATTGACTGCCTTGGTCTCACAGACTGTGTAGATATATTGGTTGTAGTGGCCCCAGAAACTGTGTGCCTATATTGATTGTTGTGGTCCCACGGACGGTGTAGTTATATTGACTGCCTTGGTAGACTGTGTGGATATGATGATTGTTGTGGTCCCTGAGACTGTGTAGCTATATTGGTTGTTGTGGTCCCAGAAACTGTGTAGATATATTGGTTGTTGTGGTCCCAGATACTGTGTAGCTATATTGACTGCCTTGGTCCCTGAGACTGTGTAGCTATATTGGTTGTTGTGGTCCCAGAGACTGTGTAGCTATATTGGTTGTTGTGGTCCCAGAGACTGTGTAGCTATATTGGTTGTTGTGGTCTCAGAGACTGTGTGGATATATTGGTTGATATATTTGTGGTCCCAGAGGCTGTGTAGTTATATTGACTGCCTTGGTCCCAGAAACTGTGTGGATATATTGATTGTTGTGGCCCCAGAGGCTGTGTAGTTATATTGACTGCCTTGGTCTCAGAGACTGTGTAGATATATTTGTTGTTGTGGCCCCAGAGGCTGTGTAGTTATATTGACTGCCATCATCTCAGAAACTGTGTTGATATATTGGTTGTTGTGGTCCCAGAGACTGTGTAGATATATTGATTGTTGTGGCCCCAGAGACTGTGTAGCCTATATTGAATGTTGTGGTCCGAGTGTGTAGGATTGTTGTGTCCCAGAGACTTTATTGATATTGGTTGTTGTGGTCCCAGAGACTGTGTGATGATATATGACTTGTTGTGGTCCCTGAGACTGTGTAGCTATATTGGTTGTTGTGGTCCCAGATACTGTGAAGATATATTGGTTGTTGTGGTCCCAGAGACAGTGTAGCTATATTGACTTCCTTGGTCTCTGAGACTGTGTAGCTATATTGGTTGTTGTGGTCCCAGAGACTGTGTAGCTATATTGGTTGTTGTGGTCCCAGAGACTGTGTAGCTATATTGGTTGTTGTGGTCCCAGAGACTGTGTAGCTATATTGGTTGTTGTGGTCCCAGATACTGTGTAGATATATTGGTTCTTGTGGTCACAGAGACTGTGTGGATATATTGATTGTTGTGGTCCCAGAGACTGTGTAGTTATATTGACTTCTTGGTTTCAGAGACTTTGTGGATATATTGATTTTTCTGGTCTCAGAGACTGTGTAGGAATATTGATTGTTGTGGTTTCAGAGACAATGTAGATATATTGGTTGTTGTGGTCTCAGAGACTGTGTAGATATATTGATTGTTGTGGTCACAGAGACTGTGTAGATATATTGGTTGTTGTGGTCACAGAGACTGTGTAGATATATTGATTGTTGTGGTCACAGAGACAGTGTGGATATATTGGTT